CTAGGTTTTTCCCAGTTTCTCGATTTTCTCACTCTATTTATACTTATTTCCTTTTCTAATGAGTTTTCGAGGAGGAGGTTTGACGAGCGTTGACACAGTCAGTTACAAGCTTTAACGAAGTGTGCATCGTGCTTTCGAATTCTTATTCACAAGAACAATAAATGAATTGTGGTGGAACGGAACTTTAGTTAAATCTTTAGTGTAAATTCCATCGTGCATAGTGTATTTCTTTTAGTTAAAATATTGTTTTGTGTAGTTTATGTTCAGTGCGTGTTAATTATTTCGTGTTAAGTTTATTATTAATGACACTTATTAAAGTTTAAGTTACTTTCTTATTGAAGTTCATCTACTGTAAGTACATTTAATCATGTCAAGTGAGACACATATTTTTTGCAACTATTCTCTGAATGCTAATTGTTTAACGATAACTTGTGTACGATTAGGTATCAAAATGTCAGCGAATACTTTGGTACAAACTCCAGGCTCATCTGGAATAAAATTAATCACCCGGCAAAAATTATTTGAAATAATGCAAACAAACAAAGAAAACAATATTAATGGCAAATTACAATGCATTGAACAATATTTATTAAATCAGCAAAATTACACAAACGAAGAGCGTCGGCAATTCAAACACCAAATTTCTCATATAAAATCACAGTTTAAACAGAGATGGCTGTCTGCGCGCTACAAAGAAAAGTTGTTTATAAAACAAAATGAGAAGTGGCTTGCAGGGACAATTGAAATACCACTAACAAAAACCGAAAGTGGACAACCGCGACAATTAAAATCATTTGTAGAATTAAGTGATCGCAGCAAGCGAAGGAAAACTGCAGACCTTCGCGAAAATATTAGCATTGAGAAATTAGTATTCGCCACAGAAACGAAATTAAGAGCTTCCGGTCAAGTAGACGCATCAAAAGTATTAAAACATATAATTCAATCATCACAGTCGGCAAAAAAATGCAAAAATATTTGTTCCACTGATCCAGAAAAGAAAGAGAAACAACTAACAAATGAGCAGGCCCTGTCAATATTTGTAGAGGCAAGGTTATCACGAGAGCAGTATAATATCATTCGAACGAGCAGTAAAAAATTATTTCCGTGTTATAGTTTATTGCAGAAAGCAAAAAAGGATTGTTACCCCAATCGTGAGGCATTCACGATAAACGAAACTAATGCCGAGGTAAACCTGCAAGATCTACTAAACCATACAGCTGCCCGTTTATTATTATACTTACAACATACATCGAACAATTTAAATAGCGACAGCGACATGAAGTCGTTGGAGTTAATTAGTAAATGGGGGTGCGATGGGTCCCAACAAACGCAATACAAACAAGCATTTTTAAGAACAACAGATTCCGATGCACACACTTTCCAAAACTCATTTGTCCCATTACGATTAATTTCTTCTATCAGCAAAAAAGTAATTTGGCAAAACCCGACACCATCCTCTCCCCGGTATTGCAGGCCCATACGTATTAGATTCATAAGAGAATCTGTAGATGTCACAACAGAAGAAATCAGTCATATCTAAAATAAAATTAACGAATTAACGGAAACACAAATCGGAGGAGTTTCAATATCGCACAAATTACTGTTTACAATGATTGATGCTAAAGTCTGTAATGCTGCTACGAGCACAAAATCTACAATGCAATGTTTCATATGTGGCGCCACTTCGAAAGATTTTAATAACTTGACAGAAAAGCCCATAATAAATCCAAGTACGCTGCAATTCGGCTTATCTATTTTGCATGCTAAAAGACTTTTTGAAAATCTACTACACATAGCTTACAAATTGCCAATAAAGAAATGGCAAATAAAAACAGTAGAAGAAAAGAATACCGTTGAACAAACAAAAAAATATATTCAAGAACAATTCAAAATAAAAAAAGGAATAATAATAGATAGACCTCAACCTAGCTTTGGCAATAGTAATGACGGAAATACTAGCCGTAGATTTTTTGCAGACCACAATCTATCAGCAAAAATAACGGGGATTGATGTAACACTAATATATCGCTTTAATTAAAGTAATATTGCAAGCTATCTCGACTATGTATAAAATAAACATTGAAAAATTTGAAGCGTATGCCATGGATACAGCCAAACAGTAGATTCGATTGTATCCATGGCATCCAATGACTCCCACTACGCATAAAATTTTAATTCATAGCCCGGTGATAATACAAAATGCCATTTTGCCAATTGGACAACTATCCGAAGAAGCAGCGGAAGCAAGGAATAAACATTTCCGAACATATAGGGAAAATCATTCAAGAAAATGTTCTAGAGAAGCATGTAATGAAAACGTGATAAACAGACTCCTTTTCACTGCTGATCCATATATAACAAGTATACGGAAAGTACCGCAAAAAAAGTCACGTCCCCTTTTAAAAGAGACATTAAATTTGCTTCTTTTACCTAATACAATAAGTGAAGACGAAGACGAAAGCGAAGAAGAAAATGAAGAAGATGACGAAAATGAAGATTATGATGAAAGCGAGGATGAGGACGAGAATATTTATTAGAATAAGAGGATAGAAGAATATTTTCATAAAGCAATTTTCATCGAATTGTGAATATCGTAATTGTATATAAAAAATATTTTTTGAATATCATATCTACATATACCATTATATTCCATATATTTCAATGCATATATTTCAATAAGATTTTAGATGTGTATTGTAGCTTCAGTAGTGATTTTTATACAAAATACCTACATAATCAAAAAGTAGAAGATTTACGCTTTACAATCATTGTTGTTTCATTAATTTCGGATTAATACCGGCAAAGTTATGAGAATTTGAAAATTACGCGAATTTTAAATTGGCTCTGTCCGGCTTTTAAGTGCAAATACCCCACTGCGACGCTGAGGAGACGGTGCGCACACAAAAGCGTGGCGCTTCCCGCAGTGTACTGGCCGCCAAACTGGTCAGCGAGGAACCTGACCTAAGCCAGCAAAAAGGACGCGCATTACCGCGGAGTTGCTCACCATCGGACCCATTGTAGGCGGAACTCCGTAAGAAGGTAAGCCAAGCATGGCCTCTTTTGATCAGATCCCGTAAACCGATGCTTGAAAAGATGGCGGCATACGAGTAGGATGCTTTCAGAATTGACTCGGTTTTTGTTGTGTTTTTTTGCTTTGAATTTCAGTATGTATATTTTCGTTGAGGTGAGGAGAGAGGCAGAGAAGTGATTAGAAGGAGTGGAAAGTTCAGATTTGGCGGATAGTTAAGAATTAGGTCTTGGGTGAGTGTATGAAGACAAGTCGCTCCCCTGGTTGTGCAGTAACCAGGGGAACAATAGAGAGGAGGGAAGAAGGAGAGAGGAGTAGAAAGGAAAGGAGAGAAAAGAGGATAGAAGAATTTAGAAAATAGGAAAAGGCGATGAGCAGTGAAGAGTTGGAAGAACGAGAAAAGGAGGGAGTTGAAGAAGAGACGGTGGTTATTGAAAGCGGTAGGAGTGAAAAGGGAAAGAAGGAGGAAAATGAGTTTTTGAAAAGCCTTAAGAAGGATTGGGCGCTGGAATTTCTAGCGGAGGAAGAGGAAGTAGTGTTGGAAGCGGCGGTAAAGGAAAGGAAGAAGTTAGACAAGGAAGAGGAAAAGGAAAAGGAGTAGAAAGGAGAGAGAATGGAGGTAGAAGAGTGTAAGAAGAGGATGAGAGAAGTGGAAACGGAAGAGGAGCAGTAGGAGGAAGAGAATGCGAAGGAGAAGAAGAAGAGAGTAGGAGTAAGGATAGGAAAAGTTAGAATAGTGGAAAATAGGGAACTGACCAATGAGGAACGAGAACGACTAGTGGTCAGAAAAGGTGGAACGGTAAAGTTGGTAAGCATGGAGGCGCCAGCGATAGTGGCGCTGGAAAGTAAGAAGCGGGAGCGTGGGGAAGTGCATGATGACGTTATAGAAGTCGGCCATTGTGATACAGAGTGCGTAGTAGAAAGATTGTGTAAGTCAAAGGAAGGCGAAATAGTAAGCGACGCTGGTGCGAAGGAAGTGCGAGAGGACGCTTTAGGTAGTATTAATAGTTATAAGAGGAATAATAGAGACAGTCTTAGTAATATAAAGAATAAGAATCAAATAGATAGTAGTAATAAGATAATAGACGTTAAGAGGGACAGGGAAGAACACGTGGTAAGAAAAGGCGACAGGAAAGGAAGAGACTAATAGAAAAGTAGTAAGTGGTAGGGAATGGAAACTAGAGTTATACGGAGATGAAGTAAAATGGAATGAGTATGTTGTATGTGTAGCGTTAAAGAATAAGACAAATAGGTCTAAAAGGAATAATCTTATAAAGATCTATAGACTGGTTCAGGGGGCTGGTGTTAAGATACATACTATTAGAATGGTTGGTTTTAGCCGAGCAGAAGTATCCACGAAGAAGAGGGAGGAGGCTAACGGTTTGCTGAGGAAGTACAGCGGGAGAGAAGGACCTGTAACGACATTTTTGCCGAGAAGGATGGCGTACCGAAGAGGAATTATATATGAGTGGGAGGACTCGGTGGAAGAATTGGAAGAAGAAGCAATGCCGGGACAGGGAATTTTCACCGTGGAGAGAATGAAGAAGAGAAGGATAGTAGATGGAAAGGTGACATATCAGATGCTGAGGACAATAATGATAACATTTAAAGGTAGTATTTTGCCTACAAGACTATTAATAGGTCAGGGACATATAGGGATAAAAATAGAACCGTACGTCGAACCAGTTAAGCAATGCTTTAAGTGCCTTAAGTTTGGACATTATCAAGCGGCGTGTAGAGAGGAGGAGAAGAAGTGTGCAATATGCGGAGATAGGTATCACGGACCGTGTGATAGGAAATTAAAGTGTGTAAATTGCGGTGGGGACTACGGCCCGCTTACTAGAATGTGCTGGGTTTGGCAGCGCGAAGCTGCCATCAGGAAAGTAATGGCGTTTAAAAACGTTGAATTTGAGACTGCAAGAGGGATTGTGGCGAGGTCAGCGGGGGAGAGGGAGACAGACAGAATGGGAGGAGTGGAAGAAGCGGCTGAGAGTAGTGCGGACTTCCCGGCACTAGTGGTGAAAGAAAAGAGGGAGTTTTGGGAGAAAAAAGAGGTGCCAATTCAGAGGGAGCTGGAATTGATGAGGAGACTGAGATACGGGAATGGAAGAGAAGGCGAAAGATTCAAAGGACAAAAAGAATAAGGAGCCTCGTTCAGTGAGGTGGCGAGAAGAGGATTAAACGAAAGTGAAGGAGAAGGGAATAGGGAAGGAAGAAGAAGCCGGGAGGAAGGAGCAGGAGGAGAAGCACAGGGAGGAGAGAGGGAGAGTGAGGGAGAGTGGAGGCAGGTGAAAAAAGGAGATAGACCACCCCCATGCTTTAAGGAAAAAATAGATGGAGTTTTGTCGAAAAACAGATATTTATGCCTGGAATGTAAGGAGAAGACAGAAAAAATGAAAAAGGAGGGAGAGGGGGGTATACAAATATTGAGGAGAATACCGCTCCCGCATCTGTTGGCGGGTGAGGAACCTGAAGGCGAATGTGAGTACGAAAAATTGAACTTCGTACTTAACAAAAATCAAATGGAGAAGGAGAGGAGGAGGATAAGAAGGGAGAAGGAGATGAACAGGGAATGGCTGGTGGAGCTTGAAAAGAGAAAGGAGGACGAAATACTTGAAGAAGTAATTAAAATGCTGAACGAAAAAAACCTGGAAAGAAAGTTTCACGAAATCATTAGGACCAGGAAGTATAGGGCGAAGAAAACAGTAATGCCAGACCCGAACGAAGACTGGAACGCGGTAACCACCCCTCCGTTTGAAATGCATGTAGATCAGAGGACGAGAAATATACTGGAGAGAAGGGCGGAAAAGAAGAGAGAGGTGGCAAGAGAAAAAAGAGAAATAGAAGAAAAGGTGGAGAAAATGAGGGAGGAGGATAGAGAAAGGAGGAATAGAATAGTAAGGGAGAAGAGAAAGGAGGAGGAAGGAGGGGAAGAGAGGAGAGAGAATGAGGAGAGAGCGGAGATGGAAGGGAATGAAAAAGGGGAAGAAGGAGCAGGAGAGGGATGCAGCAAACAGGAAGAGAAGAGAGAAGAAAAGGAACAGTGGTAGAGGTGTGGTGAGAAATGAAGGAGAACAGAGATAGAGGTGTTGTGAAGGATAGGAGGTTAGGAAGAATGGCAGAGAGTGAGGTGAAAGTGAGACAAAAGGAGAATCTTGAAAATGAAAATAAACTGAAAGTGAGCTTGAGATGTAGAATTAGTATAGATGTTAAAGACAAGGCGATGTCTATTTTTATTTTTACTTTTATCTGTAATTTTAGGTTTAAGTTTAGGATTAGGGTTAAGGCCAAAGAAATGGAAGGAACAAGGAGAAGAGGTTGTTCATATGCGAATAGAGCAATGAGTTACAGTGAACTCAAGAGAGCTATGCGAACTAGGTTTAAGTATGAGTGTGGGCGATGAGAGTGTATATAAGAATAAACGAGATTATCAAAATTAGAGGTAAGACGCGAGCGTACAGGGTAGATTTGAGGATAATAGAATGTAAGAGAATATTTTGGTTAAGAGACAAACTCTTTATAGAGTGCAATGTAAAACATAAGTTCCTAATTATGAAATATGAAGACTTGCGCGGATATGTAAAATATAGGGTTTGGAGTTTTACTTTTCTTTCTTTATTGCAAGGAATCGAGGATACCATTTTTGTTTTTGTTTTTGTCTCTGTTTTCGAGGATATTTTTAGTTTAATTGTGATGATGATGGATGGTGTTTTTGGGGGGCTGGGGATGAGATGTGCGGTGGGTTGTACACCCAAAGAAAATGAGTGTTTGACTGAGGGTTGGATGGCTGTGAGGAATAGCGTGGGGGAAGTAGATGGGGGCAAATTTGAGGGTTAAAAATGAAGTGCGGCGTATGGAATGCAAGAAGCGTTAGGAACAAGAGGGAGGAAGTTAGAAGGCTTGTAGAAGGTTTGGATGTATTGGCAATAGTAGAAACATGGTTGAGGCCAGAGGAGATGTTTAAGATACCAGGGTGGCATATCATTAGAAAGGAGAATAGGAGTGGGGGTTTGTGCGTAATGGTAAGGGAGAATATCAAGGTGGTAGGAACTGGGGTTTACCTGAAGAATGATAGTAAATGGGAAAATATGTGTGTGGAGTTAGAAACGGTGGGAGGGAAGATAGAAATGGTGTTGGTATATAGGAGACCGGGAACGGCTCTGAGTAGAGAAGAATGTAAGAGATTATTCAGAAACGCGAGGGTGGGGGACAAGAGGATATTCATAGGAGACTTTAACGCAAAGAATAGGAGTTGGAACTGTGAGAATAGTGATGCGGCGGGAGAGGTTTTGGAAGAGGTATTGGATGAGGAAGATATGGTAGTAGTGAACTTTGGAACATTGTCCAGAATAGGAAAGCCAGATCAGGTGGCTTCTAATATAGACCTTGTTAATACCACGGCGGAGGAGGCATTGAATGTTTAAGTAAGAGAGACGGGGGAGACAGGGGGGTCGAATCACCAGGTGATTGAATTTGGGTGGGAAGAGGAAGTGAGTTATAGGGGAAAGAATGGGGGGGGGAAAGATATAAGAGGGAAAAATTGGACAAGTCAGAATTTTTAAAATGGATGATCAGGAACGAGGAGGAGGTAAAGGGGATAGTGAGTATGGACAGGAGGACGGAGTATAAATGTAGGGAAGTAGTGAACCTTATGAAAATAGGAATAGAAGGAAGCTATAAAGGATCAGAGAGAGAGAACGAGAGGGAGGGGGAAATAGAAATAGGAGTAGGAATGGAGGAGGGAAAAAGAAGGTGAAAAGACAACCGTGGTGGGATGAGGAATGTGAGGAACTGAAGGAGGAAAGAAGGAAGGCGGTTAAGGAAATGGGGAGGAGAATTGGGAGAAATTAAAGGAAGCAAGGAAAAGGATGGAAGAAGCAGTAAAAAGGAAGAAAAAGAAGGCATGGGAAGAATTTGCTAAAAGTATAAAATACAAAGATAATGTAGGAGAAATGTGGAAGAAGGTGAGGAGTTTGGCGAAGGGAGTGGCGGCAGAAGATCAAAGAAACATTGGAGTATGGGAGACCCAGAAATTGGAGGAAGAGGAGGTAAGAAAATTAGAAGAAGCAGAATATTGTTGTAGATGTGAGGAAGGGGAGGGGGAAGAGGAAGTTGTGGAGAAAGAAGAGGAGGGGACAATGACGGCAGTGCAGGATGGCAATAATGAAGCGGGGGGAACCGAAGGGGAAGAGGAAGAGTGGATAGCAAGGAATTTCGAAATGGAAGAACTAGAGGAAGCGCTAGCAAGAGTCAAAGGCAAGTCGACGCCGGGGGAAGATGGTATTGGGTACGATATTATAAAATTGTGGACTATAGGATGGAAAGAGGCGATGCTGGAATTGTATAATGAGGTGTGGAACAAAGGTGGTATCCCGGAGATATGGAAGAAAGCTATAATGAAATTTATACCGAAGCCGCAAAAAAGAGCCCTACGGCCAATTTCATTAATGAATTGTCTAGGAAAGCTGCTGGAAAGAATGGTGAACAAGAGAATGAGAATTTGGGCGGAGGAAGAGAATAAAATGGATATAAATCAGAACGGTTTTAGAAAGGGAAGATCAACGATGGATAACATTGGTATCCTAATCAACAACATTAGGGAGAGCTGAGGAAGAGGAAGAATAGTGACTGCTGCATTTATTGACGTAAAGTCGGCCTACGACAATGTAAACCATGAAGAGATGAGTAGAAGACTGAGAGAGATGGGGTGCCCGAGGAGGTTGGGAAATGACATAGAGGCATGGTTAAGAGGAAGAAAGGTGGAGATTAGGAATTTGGATGGGAATGTCATCCCGATGAAACTGTTACAAGGTCTACCACAGGGGTCGGTTCTTAGCCCACTATTGTATAACTTGTATACTGCGGGGATAGTAGAAGGGATGAGGGAAATGGGGATCCATATACTACAGTATGCGGACGATATAGTGATATATATAGAGGTTGAAGATAGAAGGGAAGGTAAAGAAAAAATTGAGATGGCAATTAGTAAACTAAAGGGAAACTTGGAGAAATTAGGTTTAACTATTGCAATGGATAAGACACAAATTGTGACATATATAGGTAGGAGGAAGGGGGGTAGGAGTGGAAGGGAGGAGTTTAGCATTGGGGGGGAAAGAATCAGGGGGGTGGAGGCGGCGAAGTTCTTAGGGATGTGGCTGGATGAGGCACTAGACTTCAAGAGGCATACAGATTATGTAGTAATGAAGTTAAAGAAAAGAATGAACATTTTAAAATGTATTGGAGGAATTAGGAGGGGAACGAAACCGGAAACAATCCTGAAGATATTTAAAGCATTAATTAGATCGGTTATAGAGTACGGGGGGCATTTTTATATCAAAGAGAGGAGGAATAGGGAAAAAGTGCAAAAGATACATAATGCAGGTATTAGAATAGCGATGGGATATAGATTATCGACGCCGATTAATGTTATGGAAACGGAAGCAGGGGTAATGGATTTGGAGACGAGGTTGGAGACTCTGGTGGAAGGATATGTGGCAAGGAAGTTTTGGATGAGGGATAATGAGGTGATAGAAGCAATAGAAAATAGAATAAAATATGGGGCTCCAGAGGAAATAGAGGAGGGAAAGGATGCAATGGTAGACACGTGGAGAAGGCTAGAGGAGAGAAGAGTAGGGATGTATAGGAGGAATAAGGAAGATTATACAGGTATGTGGAGAAGTTATAGAATAGGGAATTGCATAGAACTAGAATTGGGTAAGGGGTATGCAAACTCAGGAATGACGGAAAAAGCTCTCATAGGGGAGATAAAACAAAAGTTATTTGTGGAGACGGAAGGGGTGATAGAAATATACACGGACGGGTCTAAGATGGAAGGTAGAAGAAATGGAGGTGGTGCAGTTATTGTGAGGAGAGAAGACGAGGGTTGGGAAGAGGATATGTTTACAGCGCCAGGGGAGTGCTCGGTATATACGATCAAGATGATTGCGATAGGGAGAGCGGTAGAAATTGCGAATAGAAAGTTTAAGGAAAAGAATGTGCTGATATTGTCAGACTCATTAAGTGCAATAGGAAAGTTGGCCGTGGATAGGAGGGGTCAGGATGAGGGAGATATGATTGATGGAATAAGGAACAGGATAAAGAAAAGGAATTTCAGAGAGGGAGGCGAAGAGGGGAGCTGTAAGAAAGTGGCTTTAGCTTGGATCCCGGCGCATGTGGGAATCGAGGGTAACGAAAGAGCGGATAGGGCGGCAAAGGAGGCAACGGGGGGAGACGCGGATTTTTGGGTGAAGTACACATTGAAGGATTATAAAAGGACGATGAAGGAGAGAGGATGGGTGAGATCTATGGAAAAACACCTCAGACAGGGAGAATATAAGGGTAGGAAATACTATAAGGCTGAGTGGAACAATGTGGGAAAAAAGTTCCCATGGTTCAAGGGCATAAGACAACTGGAGAGTACTGTATGTAGTATAAATAGAATCAGGGCGAATCACTACAACCTGAAATGGTCGCTTTTCAGGAAGTATATGGTAGAAGACCCTTATTACGAGACTTGTGAGAGAGTAGAGGATTTAGATCACGTCTTGTGGGAGTGTGATAAATATGAGGGTAAGAGAGAAAAGTTCGTGAGAAGAATGAGAGCATGTAATGTGGAGAAGGGTAAAGAGTTTTTTCAGACCAAAGAAATGGGAGCTTTCAGGGCGGTAAGATTGATAGGCGCATTTATCAAAAAATGCGGACTAAAACTGTGATAATAAAAATCATAGTGACAAATCAGGATGCTCGTGGTAAGAGATAGTAATAGTGTATATATTTTTGTAAGAGATATACCACTGGCTGATGGAACTGGCATTTGCGTATAACACCGCGCAGCACGACTCCACCAGGTACACACCAGCCTACCTCAATTACGGCCGAAAATTACGTCCACCGGCAGAACAGACCAGCGAATCCCCTTCGTCCGGGCAATCACGCCAAGAAGCGCTGGACCATCTACAGGACGCCGTCAAACTGGCCCGTCGAGCTCTGGCGGGAACCTACACCCGCCAGAGTAAATATTACAACCAACAACGGCGGAATTGGACACCAGCGAAGGGCGACTACGTGATGCGGCGCGCCTACCCCACTTTCATCCGCTGAGAAAGGATTTAATGCGAAACTGGCCCCTAAATTCACTGGACCATACCGGGTAACACGCTTCGCAGGACCAATTGTGGTCCTCCTCCAGGAGCCG